CAATACTTCACAATGCTGCAATGTGCTAATGCAGTACAGCTCTCTCTGTGTTGAACTGTCATTCATTCTGCTCAGTGAGCAAACATTCATTTTGAATGGTACCACAATGCACCAGTCCATAGATGTGATTATTCTGTGCTTTGTGGAATACTGCATTGAAAGAAAAAGTTAAAACCTGTGTCAAATTGAAAAGACTGCCTTAAAGAATCGGAGCCAAAGCTCTTTTCCTGGGGATCACAGGAGTGCAATTAGTCCTGCACTCCTCTGACCCAGATTAAGCCAATGGCGGGCTATAGCCTGCTGTCAGCTGACATCACAGAGCAGGTGCAGGCTCTGCAGGGATCCCAACAATAATGTAAGGATCTGCCCGGTGTTTCTCCCAGCCTCTCAGTGCACAGCTGAGAGCCTGAACCAGCCACTCCTGCCGCCTGCACAGTTCGGCACTCCAATGAGTACTGGAGGGGTAATGCACATGGTACAGCAAAGCATGTTGTTAGCATGTTCCAGTGGGATTTATTTTAAATAGCACCCCAACATACATGCATTGCAGCACACTGCCCAGTAACGCACTACCATGCATTGTGGTGTGCTGTGTTGCAAAAACAAATTATTATTTACGGCCCTTTTTTGTGCAGTCTGGTGCATTGCTGGCCCACTGAAATAAATGGTCTGCCTAAACACATTGCATTGGTAGTAAGCAAAATAATGCATATTACTGCAATGCACAAAATTACCATGATAATGGGGCCCTAAAAACAGGCTGGCTCTGCTGTGTTACGCTTACTTTAGACTGTATCCCCCCCCCCCCCCCCCCACACAGACAAAAAAAACTGATATTTTTCTTGTTCACTCAGCTATGGCATTCTCAGAAATAGTGGCCATATAGAACAAAAAAAACAGATTTTTAATATTAATGAATAATCAATTATAATATCATATTATAATATATAATAAAATAGTAACATCAAATAATACCAAAAAAAAATTAAAATAAAAGTAAAAAATAACATTAAATATTATTATAAATAATAAAAAAATACTAACATTAATGTAAAATAATACATTATTATAATGATTAAGAATTAAAATTATGTTAACAGTTAAAATAATGTTAAAATAATAGAAATATCGAAAATACAATAAAAATAAAATATATATTGAAAAATATTTCAATAAATTATATTCTTGATGGTTCAAAAAATAATTCATATTAATACAAAAAATAATAATTTCACGTGAGTTGGTGGGGGATGTGAAGGGCAGCACAGAAGTGCAGCAGGCTGAGCAGTGGAGTGAGAAGAAGGAGGTTGTATATAGAGGATACGGTCTGCCCACAAGAGTGAATTGCAATCCAGGAGACATCCCTAAATAGTCCAATTAAAGGGACACAAGCACTATTTGACCAAACATTATACATGGGAGGTCAAAAATTCCAGATGAGAGCACAATGGGTGTGTTGGTGGAGGTGCACAAATAGAGAGAAGATTTAGCGTATTTATTGAATATATATCGGCTGGTGGTTCGCTGTATTTATTGAAGGAATAATAAGAAAGACTACACAAATTTTCATGGGACTTTTTTTTTTTTTTTAAAACGCTTGCTCGCTACCCTATAGCAGAAACACTGCTACAGGGCGGCAGGGCTGCGCAAAATCATATATATATAAATTATATGTATATGTGATATTGCTTTTCCAGCTTCAGCTGTTGATCACCAGGTCCCGGCCACAGATTCCCCACCGGCACCCAGCGATCGCAGAGTATCACTGATGGGGAGAGGTCTGTATGTAAACAATACAGATCTCTCCCCTGTTTGCTCCAGAACTCTGCTTTGTATTGCTCTGCATAGCAGAGCAATACAAAGCAGCGTGCTTAGACTGTACACACACAGCACACAGTAAAACAGCACACAATTAACCCTTTGATCGCCCCAGATGTTAACCCCTCTCTGCCCAGTGTCATTAGTACAGTGTCAGTGCTTTTTATTAGCACTGATCACTGTATTAGTGTCATTGGGATGTCAATTAGTTCTCCCCAGTGTCAGAATTCCCATCGCAGTCCTGCTAAAGTCGCTAATCGCCGCTATTACTAGTATATGTATTAAAAAAAAAAATTCCAGTATAGATACCACCATTTGTAGACACTATAACTTTCACATAACCAATTAATTTACATGTATTGGGATTTTTTTTTTTTAGGAAAGACGTCGCAGAATACATTTTGCCCTAAATTTATTTATGATGAAATTTGATGTTTTTTTTATTTTTTTACTGGACATGTTTAATAGCAAAAAGTCAAATATATTGTTTTTTTTTTTTCTCAAAATTGTCGGTCCTTTTTTGTTTATAGCTTAAAAAAAAACAGAACGCACAGGCGATCAAATACCATTGAAAGAAAGCACTATTTATTGGAAAAGAGGGCATAAAGTTCATTTGGGTGCAGTGTTGCATAACCGTGGAATTGTCAGTTAAAGTAACGCAGTGCCGTATCGCCTGGTCAGGAAGGGGGGTAAAAACCTCTGGAGGGCAAGTGGGTAAAGCAATGTTTTCTATTTTGTTTACTTTTTCATTGTCCATGTGATATTGAATTGAGGGTAACACACAGTCACGTGGTATTTGATGACACATATGGTTTGGGGCAGGGGTGGCTAACCTGCGGCTCTCCAGCTGCTGCAGGACTACAAGTTCCATCATGCCTCTGCAAGTCAGTAACTTCCCATCTTTGCAATGCCTCATGGGAAATGTAGTATCCACAACAGCTGGAGAGCCACAGGTTAGCCACCCCTGGTTTGGGGTATTTTAACATTTAGCATTAAAGAGAGAGTGGCACTATTTTTTGGAATTCTATTGTTAATATTTCATTTAAACATTAAATAGTGTTATTCTAATAATTCTAATAATAATTAATGAATTAAGACATATAAATATAATTATTAATATTATTTAAATCTAAACAAACATTAGTGTTATTATAATAATTCTAATAACAATTAATGATTTTAATACATATAAATGTAAATATTATTGTTATTGTTATTAAGCATTAAATAGTGTTAATGTAATAATTACATTAATAATGAATGACATGTAATACATATAAATATTTAAAATATTATTTTATTTAAACATTAAATAGTGTAATTGTAATAATTCTAATAACAATTAATCTTAGATTGTAAGCTCCAAGGAGCAGGGCCTTGCCATCCCTCTTGTATTGACCTGTATTGTTGCTGTATAGTCTCTCTTTATTTTGTAAAGCGCTGAGGAAACTGTTGATGCTATATAAATCCTGTATAAATAATAATAAAAATAATAATAATGAATTAATTTAATACATATAAATGTAAATATTATTGTTATTATTTTATTTAAACATTACATAGTGTTATTGTGATAATTTATATTACTAATGAATGAAATGTAATACATATAAATATTATTATTACTTTATTTAAACATTAAATAGTGTTATTGTAATAATTCTAATACCAATGAATGAATTTAATACATATAAATGTAAATTATTATTATTTTATTTTAAACATTAAATAGTGTTATTGTATATAATTCTAATACCAATGAATGAATTTAATACATATAAATGTAAATATTATTATTTTATTTAAACATTAAATAGTGTTATTGTAATAATGAATGGATGTAATACATATAAATGTAAATATTATTATTATTCTATTTAAACATTAGTGTTATTGTATTGTATAATTAGATTAATAATGAATGAAATGTATTACATATAAATATTATTTTTATTTTATGTAAACATTAAATAGTGTTATTGTAATAATTCTAATAAGAATGAATCTTAGATTGTAAGCTCCAAGGAGCAGGGCCCTCCTAACCCTCTTGTAAATTGTTGCTGTATTGTGTTTATTTTGTAAAGTGCTGAGCAAACTGTTGGCGCTATATAAATCCTGTATAATAATAATCTTAGATTGTAAGCTCCAAGGAGCAGGGCCCTCCTAACCCTCTTGTATTGAGCTGTATTGTTGCTGTATTGTCTCCCTTTATTTTGTAAAGTGCTGAGCAAACTGTTGGCGCTATATAAATCCTGTATAATAATAATGAATGAATTTAATACATATAAATGTAAATATTATTGTTATTTTTTTTTAAACATTAAATAGTGTTATTGTAATAATTCTAATAACAATTAATGAATTTAATACACATACATTTAAAGTATTACTATTTTATTTATTATTATTACTATACAGGATTTATATAGTGCCAACAGTTTGCTCAGCGCTTTACAATTATTTAAACATTAAATAATGTTATTGTAATAATTATATTAATAATGAATGAATGTAATACGTATAAATATTATTATTATTATACAGGATTTATATAGTGCCAACAGTTTGCTCAGTGCTTTACAATTATTTAAACATTAAATAGTGTTATTGTAATAATTATATTAATAATGAATGAAAAAAATACGTATAAATATTATTATTTTAGTTAAACATTAAATAGTGTTATTGTAGTAATAATTTAATTATTATTATTGTTATATTATATTTTAATACATATAAATATAGTAATAATAATAATAATTTATTATTATTAATATTATAATATTAATAATAAAACTAAATAATAATAATATTGGCATGTATTAAAATAATTTATATTATTACAATAAATAATAATAATAATAACCCCTCGTGTATCGCATTGTATTATCATTATACTGTCTCATGTATTGTCCCCCATTGTAATGTACAGCGCTGAGCGAACTGTTGGCGCTTTATAGATACTGTATAATAATAATAAATATTTAGAATTAACATTAATTATATATATTAAATAATGAGTTTATTTATTCTTAATAAATCAAATTTCTCTGACTCCTCAGAAGCAATAGGGGTGTCCTTTCCCAAACAAAAGCTCATATGTCTCCCACAGATAACTCCAATCCGTAGCGCTCCCCCTGTGGCCCTATGGCTAGAGTATCCGGTGGGTCAGCCATACATACCATGGCATTGGAAGCATTGAGCAGGCACACCACAGCCAGGAAGTACCAGCGCCTCTTGTACACTTTGTATTGGATGAGTTTCCTGAGTACTTGACACCTCTCAGCCTCCGGGTCCAGGTCTCCATTCTGTATCCCCCAGTTATTCTCGGACTGTCCCGGCTCCTCGCTGCTCGCAGCCATGTCTGGGGGGATGATAAAAGTTCTCTTCTCAGACACCTCCTCCGTATGAGGCTGCCTCCGTATGAGCAGAGAACAAGGAATGGTCAGTCACAGGACAGGCACACGGCACACACGGAGGGCAGCTTTGGTGAGTGTGGTGAGTGTCTGTAGCCGGCACTGAGGAGGAGGAAGAAGAGGAAGCTGCCAATACAGTGGATTCTGTGTGCTGTGTACACAGGGAGAGGGAGTCTCATGACAGCACAGCAAGTCCAGCCCACACTCATTGTCTGTGCAGAATCGAAAGTACAGAACGGCGGTGACAGCAGCCAGCTCTGGTGTTAGAGGACAGGACTGGAGGCAATCACACTTTACACTACAACTAAAGCCTAAAGCTCATTGTGGAAAGAGTAGAGCAGTTAACCACTTCAGCTCCGGAAAATTTTATCTCGGGTAATTTTTTAATATACAGCACTGCGCTGCTTTAACTGGTCATTGCGCGGTCATGTAACGCTGTACCCAGGCCCGGAATGGGATACGAAATAGGCCCGGGCATTTTGGACTGAGCAGCCCCAAGCCCAGCGACCCTTTCCAGTGGCGGAACACCAGGGACTGGTTGCAAGAGCAATCTTTGCAATCCTGGTAGTTACACCACTAGTGTCAGTAGGTTTTTATTTAAATTTTTTTACAATTTTATGTATTTTTTTTACAATTTTTTATAGGAGAGAAAGAAGAAAAAAAAAAGTGAGAAGGAAAGAAAGAAGGGAAGGAAGGATGGAGGGAAAAAAGGAAGGAGCAAAAGAAAGGAAGGAGAGAAGGAAAGAAAGAAGGAAGAAAAGGAAGGCGGGAAAGAAAGGAAGGAGGGAAGGAAGGATGGAGGGAAAAAAGGAAGGCGGAAAGAAGGAATGAGGGAAGGAAAGAAAGAAGGAAGAAAAGAAAAAAAGGAAGGTGGGAAAGAAAGGAAGGAGGGAAAGAAGGAAGGAGCGAAAGAAAGGAGGGAAAGAAGGAAGTAGAGAAAAAAAGGAAGGAGAGAAAGAAAGAGGGAAAGAAGGAGAGAAAAAAGGAAGGAGCAAAAGAAAGGAAGGAGAGAAAGAAAGAAGGAAAGAGAGAAAAAAGGAAGGAGCAAAAGAAAGGAAGGATGGAAAAAAGGAAGGAGGAAAAAAAGCAAGAAAGAGGGAAAAAAGGAAGGAGCGAAAAAAGGAGAGAAAAAGAAAGAAGGAGCAAAAAAAGGAAGGAAGGAGGAAAAAAAGAAAGAGGAAGGAAGGAAAAGAAAGAAGGAAGAGGGAAAGAAGGAAGGAGAGCGAAAGAAGGAAGGAGGGAAAGAAGGAAGGAGAGAAAAAAGGAAGGAGCAAAAGAAAGGAAGGAGGAAAGAAAGAAAGAGGGAAAAAAGGAAGGAGCGAAAAAAGGAAGGAGGAAAAGAAGGAATGAGAGAAAAAAAGGAAGCAGCAAAAGAAAGGAAGGAGAGAAAAAGGAAGGAGCGAAAGAAAGGAAGGAGGGAAAGAAAGAAAGAGGGAAAAAAGGAAGGAGCGAAAAAAGGAAGGAGGAAAAGAAGGAAGGAGAGAAAAAGGAAGGAGCGAAAGAAAGGAAGGAGGGAAAGAAGGAAGGAGCGAAAGAAAGGAAGGAGTGAAAGAAGGAAGGAGCGAAAGAAAGGAAGGAGGGAAAGAAAAAGGGAAAGAAGGAAGGAGGGAAAGATGGAAGGAGTGAAAGGAAGGAAGGAGAGAAAAAAGGAAGGAGCGAAAGAAAGGAAGGAGGGAAAGAAATAGGGAAAAAGAAAAGAGGGAAAGAAGTAGGGAGCGAAGGAAAGAGGGAAAAATGGAAGGAGTGAAAGAAAGAGGGAAAGAAGGAATGAGGGAAAAAAGTATTGAAAAAAAGGATAGAAAGAAGGAAGGAGGAAAAAGAGGGAGAGAAAGAGGGAAGGAAAGAAAGAGTGAAAGAAGGAAGGAGGGAAAGAAAGGAGAGACAGAGAGAGAAAGAGAGAAGTATAGAAAAAAAGGGAGAGAAGACACAAAGCTGCAGGGGGGGGGGATGGGTGGGGGGCAGACATAGGAGGAGGGGACGGGAAGAAGAAGGGCATCTTTCTCTCTCCTCTCCCGTCTGTGGTGGTCGGGAACTGTCAGCATTGACAGTCTATGCTGACAGCAGCTCCGCAGCAGCTGCAGGAAGGGGGGAAACAGGCAGCGCCGCTGCAGGAGATGAGGGGGGGCAGCTGAGGGGGGAGCATACAGGAGCCCAGGGCATGCAGGAGATGGATAGGAGGGGCGGCCGTGCAGCACATAGAGGAACCGAGAAATGCATGGTCCGGTTCCTCTGTGTGCCGCCCGGCCGCCCCTCCTATCCAGGCGGCCCCGGCCCACCAGGCAAATGCCCAGTGTGCCCTATGCCCAGTCCGGGCCTGACTGTACCCAAACGAAATTTATATCATTTTTTTCACACAAATAGAGCTTTCATTTGGTGGTATTTGATCACCACACAGATTTTTATTTTTTTTCAATAGATCAAAAAGTTTGGAAAAAAAAACATTTTTTTACTTTCTGCTATAGAACATATCCAATAACAAAAATGTAAAATATCTAATTTTGGCCAAAATGTATTCTGCTACCTGTCTTTGATTTAAAAAAAATCCTTATAAGTGTGTATTGATTGGTTTGTGTGAACGTTATAGCATCTACAAACTATGGTATATACAGTCAGGTTCATAAATAGTGGGACATCGACGCAATTCTAACATTTTTGGCTCTATACACCACCACAATGGATTTGAAATGAAACAAACAAGATGTGCTTTAACTGCAGAATGTCAGCTTTAATTTGAGGGTATTTACATCCAAATCAGGTGAACGGTGTAGGAATTACAACAGTTTGCATATGTGCCTCCCACTTGTTAAGGGACCAAAAGTAATCGGACAATTGGCTTCTCAGCTGTTCCATGGCCAGGAGTGTGTTATTCCCTCATTATCCCAATTACAATGAGCAGATAAAAGGTCCAGAGTTCATTTCAAGTGTGCTATTTGCATTTGGAATCTGTTGCTGTCAACTCTCACGATGAGATCCAAAGAGCTGTCACTATCAGTGAAGCAAGCCATCATTAGGCTGAAAAAACAAAACAAACCCATCAGAGAGATAGCAAAAACATTAGGCGTGGCCAAAACAACTGTTTAGAACATTCTTAAAAAGAAGGAACACACCGCTGAGCTCAGCAACACCAAAAGACCCGGAAGACCACGGAAAACAACTGTGGTGGATGACAGAAGAATTCTTTCCCTGGTGAAGAAAACACCCTTCACAACAGTTGGCCAGATCAAGAACACTCTCCAGGAGGTAGGTGTATGTGTGTCAAAGTCAACAATCAAGAGAAGACTTCACCAGTGTGAATACAGAGGGTTCACTACAAGATGTAAACCATTGGTGAGCCTCAAAAACAGGAAGGCCAGATTAGAGTTTGCCAAACGACATCTAAAAAAGCCTTCGCAGTTCTGGAACAACATCCTATGGACAGATGAGACCGAGATCAACTTGTACCAGAGTGATGGGAAGAGAAGAGTATGGAGAAGGAAAGGAACTGCTCATGATCCTAAGCATACCCCCTCATCAGTGAAGCATGGTGGTGGTAGTGTCATGGCGTGGGCATGTATGGCTGCCAATGGAACTGGTTCTCTTGTATTTATTGATGATGTGACTGCTGACAAAAGCAGCAGGATGAATTCTGAAGTGTTTCGGGCAATATTATGTGCTCATATTCAGCCAAATGCTTCAGAACTCATTGGACGCCGCTTCACAGTGCAGATGGACAATGACCCAAAGCATACTGCAAAAGCAACCAAAGAGTTTTTTAAGGGAAAGAAGTGGAATATTATGCAATGGCCAAGTCAATCACCTGACCTGAATCTGATTGAGCATGCATTTCACTTGCTGAAGACAAAACTGAAGGGAAAATGCCCCAAGAACAAGCAGGAACCGAAGACAGTTGCAGTAGAGGCCTGGCAGAGCATCACCAGGGATGAAACCCAGCGTCTGGTGATGTCTATGCATTCCAGACTTCAGGCTGTAATTGACTGCAAAGGATTTGCAACCAAGTATTAAAAAGTGAAAGTTTGATTTATGATCATTATTCTGTCCCATTACTTTTGGTCCCTTAACAAGTGGGAGGCACAAATGCAAACTGTTGTAATTCCTACACCATTCACCTGATTTGGATGTAAATACCCTCAAATTGAAGCTGACAGTCTGCAGTTAAAGCACATCTTGTTTGTTTCATTTCAAATCCATTGTGGTGGTGTATAGAGCCAAAAATGTTAGAATTGTCCCAATATTTATTGACCTGACTGTATATTGGAATTTTTTTTCTTATACTACTAATGATGGCAATCAGTGACTTAAGTGACGGCAATCAGTTACGGAAGTGTGGCAGGCAATCTGACACTAACTGCTACTGACATCACCAGTGAGATTAATACAGTGATCAGTGATAATACTAATGAAACTGGCTGGGAAGGGGTTAACCATTTTCTGACCACCTGCCTGCAAAGTACTGCGGATGGGCAGCTGCTGTAGGCAAAGCTAGGTACGTCACTGCCTATTTCCGGGTTTTATGCACACACACCCCTGTCGGCACCTGCTGTAATTGTACACAGCAGGAGCCTGTCAGCTAGTTCCAGCCAATGATTCATGGCCAGGACCTGCTGGTCGTCTGTGTACGTTCATAGCCCAGAGCTCTGTGTTGTCATTCAACACAGAGCTTTGTACACAGGGAGTGATCTGTCAGTTTCTCATCACTGCAAAGCAGATAGATAGATCTCTTAGTAAGGCACGCATTTAACCCCTGATTGCCCTATTTGTTACCACTTGCCTACTGGGCACTTTCACCTCCTTCCTGCGCAGGCCAATTTTCAGCTTTCCAAGCTGTCACACTTTGACAATTGCACGCTTGTGCAATACTGTACGCAAATGAAATTTTTATCATTTTTTTTTAGACCGATAGAGCTTTTGAGCTTTCTTTTGGGGGTTTTATTTTTTGATAAACAAAACAAAGACTAAAAATTAAAAAAAAAAAAAACATTTCTTAGGATACAGCATCAAGGGCGGAGCAGTTTTTTTTCTTTTTTTCTGGTTGGCGGTGGTGGCGGCGGGCACAGTGATTGATGTTGGATCTCCTTGGGGGGACATTTTTATACTTTTTATTTTCAATAAAGGACTTGTCTCCTGTTTTTTTACACTACACTTTTTTTTTGTGAATGAGTAGTGGTATCATATACCGCAGGGCTTAAAATTTCAAGTCCTGAGCTACTAGCCAGGCCTTAAGAGTTACTTGCCACCAACAAACACACACAAACAGAGACACCTGTACACACACACAGACATGTACTGTACATACACATACACACACAGAAACATGTACACACACGCACAGACTCATGTACACACAGACACATGTATACACACACAGGCATTTACAGACACGCATACACACAGATACATGTACATACACAGAAATACACACGCACAGACACATGTACATACAGACAGACACATGTACATACATATACAGACACGTGCACACAGACACATGTACGTACATACACACAAACACACATGTACATGCACAGACACATGTACACATACATGTACATACACGCACACACATGTACATACAGACACATGACACATGTACACACAGACACATACACATGTACCCTCACACACACAGCCCTATAAAAAGTTGCAGTACTTCGTTGTTCACTCACAGATCCAGGTACTGCACTCTAGGGGGAGGCAGAGAGCACAGCACACACTCCTTGCTTTGCTTTCACTGCACTCAGCTATTGAGCAGTCTGACGGCTCCCAGTGCCAATGACAGATCCAGCCTGAGCTCCGAGCCTGCTCAGCAAGACAGCTCTGGGGGACACACTCGCCCCCCACCATAATTTCCACTCGGCATTGGCGAGCAGACAAGTGGAAATTTCAAGGCCTGATGTACCGCATACTCATTCACATGGTAGGGGGGATCTGGAGGCCCTCTTTTTAAAGGGGGCTTCCAGATTCTGATAAGCCCCCCTGCCTGCAGAGCTCCACCACAAGGTGCTTTGGGGGGGGGAGCCTGCCCTGCCCCAAAGCACCCCCCATGTTGAGGGCATTTGGCCTGGTATGATTCAGGAAGGGGGGCTTGCTCGTCCCCCCCCTTATGTGATCTGCCGGGCTGCATGCTCAGATAAAGGTCTGGTAGGGGTTTTGAGGGGACCCCCATGCCATTTAAAAAAAAACATTTGATGTGGGGGTTCCCCTCAATATCTATACCAGACCCTACGACATTAAAAAAAAAAAAAAATTGCTGGGCAATGCCAACAATTCCTTTGACATTCAGCTGTCAGCGGGGAACCCCTCGGACAGCTGAAACATGAATGAATGTTTCACTACTAAAATACCGCATGACTTAATAATATAATTCATGCGGTATTTTAGTAACTGAGCGGTATCTTACCATATACTCAAATGTACCTGTTTGAAGTTCATGGTCGAACTTTTGGTAGGTTTGAATGTTTGACTGTGAACCGAACAGGAGGGTGTTCAGCCCATCACTACTGTGAAACATTTTTGTTCAAATCAATGATGACTACACATGTTTCCATGCAGGTAAATTAATAATTGTGTCATTCTCAAAACTTTTGGCAAGGGCTGTACATAGGGGTTGATTATTATTATTATAGGATTTATATAGCGCCAACAGTTTTCGCATCACTTTACAAAGTGAGGGCACAATCCAAAACAGGAGAAATCAGAGGGGAGCGTAAAATGTAATACCTGGGGGGGGGGGGGGGGATGAGCTGATGGAGAAAATACACATATAGTTCTTAGGTGGAGTCAGGATAGGCTTCTCTGAAGAGAATAGTTTTCAGGGATCGCCTAAGCCTGGGTTCACACTGATGCGGTGTGGAATTTGCAGCATTTTCTGTGCGAATTCCACACCGCATCATAATCGCACCCCGTTCATGCGAACCGCTGCGGGTGTGTATGTTAAGTTAACAAAACCCCGAAAGCAGTCTGCAAAACATGGTGCGATGTGCAAAATCGGATCACATAGGTGTGAATACCCATGCGATCCGATTCTAGTGAGGACCCAAAAAAGGGTCCTGCACGTTTTTGGTGCGGGTGCAGTGCGAACAGAGCCATACAAAATGTATGGCTCTGATCGCACCGCACACAAATCGCATTTGATTTGCACAGGAATGTGGTGCGGTTCCTGTACGAATCACATGCGATATACTACACCGCACATATATGAACCCGTGCTAAAAGTGGACAGAGTAGGACATAGTCGGACAGACTGAGGTAGGGGAATTTACTAAAACTGGAGCACTCAGAATCTGGTGCAGCTGTGCATGGTAACCAATCAGCTTCCAGGTTTTATTGTCAAAGATTAACTGAACAAGCTGAAGTTAGTAGTTGATTGGTTACTAAGCACAGCTGCACAGGATTCTGTGTGCACCGGTATTAGTAAATCTTCCCAATGTAATGATTTTTCAACAGTGTCATTCACACTGTACACTTACCTTCGTTTAAGTGTAGTCAATTTAGCTGCATTTAGAAAAAATAGAATTCTCCTGCATCTAGAATACAGCACAGCTAGATGCATGCAAACACGTGTGAATTCAACTAAATGTGTCTAGATGCGGCTATAAATAAAAACGTCTAATTGCAGGAAAAAGTGATCTGAGAGAATTAAAAGTAGCATATGGGTAAATATTGCATGGATGTTTGCCTTAAAATAGCTCAAAAGTAGTCTATTCACTAATAAAGCTTTATTTAACAAATACATTGAGTATTTACGGTGTGTGATATTTAGCACTTAAATTTAGTGCTATTTTTTATGGCATTTCTTCACAGTTTATTTTTTTCACAGGCTGAAGCCCCTTTAACAAGGCAATTTTCATGCATCCACTAGATTCCACCAGCAAAAATCACTGGATTCTTGCAGCTGGAATGGATGGGACATTCAAATAGCATTGGCCGCTCAGCCTATATGAGCTAACGATAGGCTGACAGCGGATTCCCGCTGTTGTCATTTAGCCGCACACAAAGTGGGTACCTGCCAGGGGCGGACTGACAATTCATGGGGCCCCCGGGCAATAGGGGATCATGGGGCCCCTGTTTCCTTGCCCACACTCAAGTCACACCCAAAAAAAGCCTATAAAAGGTACCAGGGGCATTTCATGGGGCCCTCTACTGACCGTACCAGGGCATTTCATGGGGCCTCCTACTGACCCTGGGCCCTCGGGCAGTGCCCGAGTGCTCGAATGGTCAGTCCGCCCCTGGTACCTGCTTTTAAGGATGGATGTCTGAGACTGAATGTAGTGATCTGAATCCAGGCTAGAACATCCGCAAGTAAATGCTTGGTGTGGGACAACATGCAAACAGTGGTGGCTGCTGTCAGCCTGTCTTTAGTTTATATGGGCTGAATAGCCGCTGCTAATGGCATGTCACGGCAATTCCAGCCACATGAATCTACCACTGGATTCCAGAGAATGCAGCTAACCAACTGTGTGATGGAGGAGGAAGGTTTGGTTCACACTACTGCGACTAAATTCTGATGCACCTTTCAGTGTGATCATGTAGTGCAACCTTGATGTGACTTCAAATGTGGCTAGCATATTCTATGGAGCCAAAATGCACAAAATTGCACCAAAGTAGTACAGGAACCTTTTTCAAATTGTACCGCACAGTAACACTGATTTGAACAGGCACCACTGAAAACAATAGGATTGATTTACTAAAGGCAAATAGACTGTGCACTTTGCAAAGTGCAGTTGCACCATTGCAACCAGTTGCTCCAAAGCTTATTAAATGAACAGATGCTCTGCTGAGTTTCATCATCCAATCACATGCAAGCAAAAATGCTTTTTTTCTATTTACCTTGAACATGATTGAGTAATATTTGCAAAGTGAAACTTTACTTCATTTACTAAGCTCTGGAGCAACTGCTCTTGCAGAGTGTAACTGCACTTTGCAAAGTGCACAGTCTAATTGCCTTTAGTAAATCGACCCCTATGTGATTTCACATGTCATGCGATTCTTTGTGCCTCAAGTCACATCAGAAATCGCACAAGTGTGAACCAGCACAAACACTGCACCAGAGGAAGATTGTTCCATGATTAAAGACACACAGAAATATTGTAAACTATGAAAACATCCTTAATGTACCTTCATTCACAGAACGATCTTCTTCTAGTGAAATGATACAAATTATTTACATTCCTGAGCTCAGGATATAAAATAATATTTCCACACTGATACAATGTTCTTTTAACTTACTATCAGGTGCAGAGTTCAACTTGTTTTATACATTTCTAAAGTATCAAGTGTCTACACCCCTGCTGCCCAAGCTGCAGCTCAGGGGGGCCACATGCAACCCTTTGGCACTTTTTCTGCAGCCCTCAGGGCCCCTGCAGACACCATATTGCCCTGTTATTTATTTATTTATTTATTTCAGGTACTTATATAGCGTTGTCAATTTATGCGGCACTTTACTTATATATTGTACATTCACATCAGTCCCTAACCCTCAAGGGTGTACAATCTAAGGTCCATAACTCACATTTATATACAAGGGCCAATTTAGACAGGATCCAATTAACCTATCAGCATGTCTTTGGAGTGTAGGAGGAAACTGGAGTACCCAGAGGAGGCCCACGCAGGAACAGGGATAACATGCAAACTCCAGGCAGGAGTTGCCATGGCTGGGATTCGGACCAATGACCCTAGTACTGCCAGGCAGAAGTGCTAACCATTTAGCCACTGTGCTGCCCAGTTATAGCAATTTCTAGCAGCTTCATGTTATGTGTCTCCTGTCTATATAATGTTGACTATATCCTGCTGTGTGCTTCTTTGATAATGAATATTCATTACATTTTACGCATGCTCCTTTGGTGATGTCTAGGACCACACTTCAGGCTCTCCATATCAAGAAAGGTGACCACCACTGGCCTACACCATGAGATAAATTGCGAATGCGGCTTTCTTGTAGAGAATTGACTATATTGATTTATCCAAATTTGTATGCAGTATTGACCTTTTATACAGTATTGACCACACATATTTCTTAAATTTGTTGTATTGACTTCAATATTTTATCTTGATTAATTGATTATGTGATTATCCCATATGATATTTAAAAAAACAAAAAACATGATTATCACATGCGATAATCATTAGTAAATTGACCCCCACAGTTACATAGTTGGTAAGGTTGACTAAAGAAACTGTGTGTGTGTGTGTAAAATTGTATTGAATATATACGTTTATGTAAAGCTGTACAAAATAATTTGGAAAATTTGGACTGTATACATAGTTGATTATATAGTTGGTAAGGTTGAACAAATACCATCCAGTCCAACCTGTGTGGGTGTGTGTATGCATTTATGTCTCTACCACTTCCCATATCCCTGTATATTGTGTTCAATAAGATGCCCATCTAAAGGTTTTTTTAAATTTATCTCCCTGCTGACACCACCAAATGTGGGAAGGGAGTTCCACATCCTTACCACCTTAAAGTGTTACTAAACCCACAACAGTAAAATCAGTCTGTATATGCAGTAAAGCATGCTTGTTATACTGTACTCACAGTAGAACCTAAGGGGTTAATCCTCTGCATTGGGTAAAAAGGCTGTTTGATTCTTTCTTCTCTGTTCCTTCCCTTTTTCAAGTGACCACTACTTATCTCCAGACTGAACCAACCGTAGGCATGCACATGCTCAGCTTGGTGTATATTGCTAGAGAGATTTTTTCTTCTTGGGAGAGTGCATGTGATCAGCACAGGGCCAATCAGAGCTTTCCAGACAAAGGACAGGGGATTTCCATCCTCCTAGAGCAGAAAGAAAACAACTCCTACAAGCTTTAGCTAGTGCTGGGCTGGACAATGATAGAAGTCACAAGACTGCTCTAACTGCTGATGGGAAAAGGTATTTAGCAGTTTATATATACTA